AAAAAAAAAAAAAAAAAATGGGTTAGGTTGCACGTCGACCTCTTTGTCGAGTTCGACGAGTACGGTTACCGGGGTTCCTAAGCCTACTCCTAGTGCTAGCACTGAATACGTCTAATGCAAAGGTTAAGGACGAGTAAGTGCTTCTGTACGACGCAGTGCTTGTATAGTGGCATAGTCAGAACAACTCACTCTTAAAGGCGTTATACCAGTAAGCCCTATTTTTGAAATCTGACGAATGTATATATGTCAACTCATGTTTTTCATAGCAACCCGTCATGACCTATGCAAGTGTAGTGTTCGCTCACGCGCCGTGGCCCGCACTAACTTAAAATCATTCCAAATAATTCAATCCCGTTTTTGCAGGATAGCCGTCGGAGCTCCGTGGTTCGTCAGGAACTTGGACCTCCATGACGACCTGGACTTAAGAGTCCATCAGTAATTATCTGCAGTCGGCATCGATGCGCCACTTCCATAATGCGGCACGACACGAGAACCCTCTCATCGTGGCCTCCGGTAATTACATTCCCGACCCTGCGGACAGAATGGAAAGCAGTCGACGTCGCCCCAAACACGTCATTTCGGATCCGCCCGATCCACTAACGGTGCTTTTAGGTACCTGAAGCACCGGTCATCGTTCTCGTAAATTCGAGGGTAAATTAACCTTCAATAACCGATTTTGAGGGTAAATTAACCCTCAGACACAGCCCACTGAGTTTCTCGTCGCATCATCTCACTGGGTCGCGTTTACGATCCGCTCGTAGATTCTGCGAAGCACGGCTCTTGCTAGGGTTCGTGTTAGCAACGTCGTCAGGTTTGAGCCCCGTGAGCTCACCTACTTTTTGTGTGTGGTTTTTTAAGGAATTCAAGGTCTGCGACCGCTTCATTAAATTTGGAAACTCAACAAGGTTTTTTCCTGTATTATTACATATTTTAAAGGTTTTGCTGGCAACACATAAACACACACACACACACATTTGAGAGGTGCGACATTAATAATATCGTTACTAACGACCAGTCGTCACTTTGTTCCGGGAACTGTAATTAATTAATGATCTTATTGAATTTACTATCTTCATCTTTCCGAATATCGCGCACTCGGTTCTTTATCATCATAAGTACTCAAATATTTGTCCANATATTTTAAAGGTTTTGCTGGCAACACATAAACACACACACACACACATTTGAGAGGTGCGACATTAATAATATCGTTACTAACGACCAGTCGTCACTTTGTTCCGGGAACTGTAATTAATTAATGATCTTATTGAATTTACTATCTTCATCTTTCCGAATATCGCGCACTCGGTTCTTTATCATCATAAGTACTCAAATATTTGTCCAAATGATGTAGTGTAAAAGACAAAGCTTATGTACTCTATATACCAGATGCGATAAAAGTGTTTATTTTGATATAAAGATCAATTTGTTAATAACTCAAACTGTTTTGTCATTGCACGCCAGATTAGCTCGCAGATGGCAGATTTTTGTCTACTTTCTTGACACTTAACGTTATATTTTGGGTAATTCACACTTCAACTGTATAAGTTATAGCTTTTGTGTTCTCTTATGTGGGTGATGAGGGGCTATTTAAAAACACACTGCTTCATTATAATTATATTGCAGATAGTTTGAACACTGCTACACCATTATAAAATTATTATCTTTATATTTTTATAAAACTATTACATGTTTCTTTGACCGTGTCTAGATGAGAAGTCATGACTTTCTTACGAGAATACAATCATCTGTTTTTTAAACATTTACAATAATTCTAATATTCGAAATCTGTAATCATGTGTCAAGTGTTGCCTGCCATTACATTTATATTCAAACTCCAACAGATATAGGTTAATCGCAGTAAAATGGTAATCATATATTGAGACCTTTTCAGTGGACTTTTTGGAGGATTCCGAGAAGCTATGTCCAGCGGCTTTGTTTTATTTTCGCACATTTGTGCACTTTCACAGATATTAAACAGTTAATAAACCACCGTTATTACGCATTTAAACCTGAAGAAACACTAAATAGACAAAATAAAACAAATCACACAACTTCACACCTCGCGTTCCCGCCAAAAAGTCCATACATATTTGTTCCCATCTCAAACGACCACAGAATATTTTGAGACAGCACAGATTAATGTAGTAGAAAAAATATCTACCAAATACAAAGGTGAATGAAGTTAGCCCCTCAAAAAAATTTTTTTTTCCTGTTTTCTACTTATTTTCTATTAATTCGTTTGTTCATCATTTGTTCTTGATTGTTCATTGTTAATAATTGTTTGTTCCCCATTTATTTATTTTAAAAAAAATATTAAAAATATATCTAAAAGTTAGCCCCTCGATTGCAATTTTTAATATTTTTTCGTCCTTAATTACTCGTAAATATTCATTTTCGATTGTTCTTATATAAAATACGTTTGTTCTCTTTCGAAATTACTCATTTTTTGTTTAATTAATTGTATTAGTTGAATAAATGTATACAAAATATGTGTACTGCGCATGCCATAAGTGTATAATCTATGGCGCATGCGTCAACTATAATGCCTAANAATGATTTCAGGTCATATTAGCGGTATCATACCGAGCAGAAGAAATGGAAAAAGAATTAACAGAACAAGTTTCAAAACTGGGTGTTTCCCTAACATTTTCTCATGAGACTGAACCACTGGGAACAGCAGGACCACTGGCACTTGCCAGGGAACTGCTCAGCACCAGTTCGGAACCATTCTTTGTATTGAACTCTGATGTAATTTGTGAGTTTCCATTTAAAGAACTTGCAAGATATCACAAGAATCATGGGAAGGTAATAAATGAATATTATTTAATAATTTTTATTTTTACATAAAAAATGTGAGTTATGAATACTTTATATACAACAGAAATGAAAATTTCAAATGGCCCAGAAATGGTCCATTGAAATATTAAATATGCTTAAATAAAAATCACAGATGACATCATGCATTGAGAAAAATGTTTTTCTTGAATAATTTCTTCTACAGAAACTACACAAAAGAAAAAGAAAAAAAAAGCAATTGCTGTGTTTTAATTGAATGTATCTATTTAGGATATTTCTTTTGCAGGAAGGTACAATAGTGGTTACAAAAGTAGAAGAGCCATCCAAATATGGTGTGGTTGTTTATGATGATAATGGTCAAATAGAAAGTTTTATAGAAAAACCACAAGAATTTATCTCAAACAAAATTAATGCCGGTGAGTTACATAAATTAGTGACATTTTAATTTTTTAAAGTTAATCATGACTGCTCTGACATAGAAGGTGTTCCTTATAAAAAAGGCCAAAATAGTCTGAAAATGGGCATATTGTTCAGGTTTTTGTTCAAAAATATTCAGTTAGTAAATCATATAGCTACAAATTAGTCCATGACTAACATTGATGGTGCAAATTTAAAGAAATAATCACTTTAAATTTACTATTTTTCAAAAACATTTTATACCCCGAACAGGCATGTATTTATTAAACCCATCGGTCTTAAGCAGAATAGAATTAAGACCAATGTCAATTGAGAAGGAAGTTTTCCCATTTATGGCAAAAGATGGTGAATTGCATGCAATGGAACTGCAAGGTTTCTGGATGGATGTTGGACAACCAAAAGACTTTCTAACAGGTAAGAAGTCAATTGGTATTTTATAAGACTTAAAAGTTTGGAGGATTAAGGCAGATGATGCAATTAAAGAAGTTAGAGAAGGCATGAGCTCATTAGGACTTTAGGATTCCAAAACTGCTAATAAAACATATTGTATTTTATCTCACTGCAGGAAGGATACACTTTGGTTATAATTATCTAATAAAATAAACAGGTTTATTTGCTCTTGGGCTAAATAGATTTAAAAATTATTTAATTATGTATATAGTGGTACCTCGACATAATATGATTTTAATTCGTTCTGTTGCTCGTATGTGAAATTGCTCATAATTGTATACCATCAACAGAAAAGTGGAGAGTATTAAATGGTAGGCAGCGGCTTGTCTCTGCCCCTGGCATTGCTGACGTTCATGAGCGACGGTAACCACTCACCATCAGGTGGGCCGTATGCTGGTCTGCCTATATGGCAATAAAAAAAAACTGTCTAAAGGACATGGGCAATTTTCGGCCCAGCTACTCGTGCTCTCAAGGACATTAATGAAATATCTATAGAAAAAAACATTTCATTTTTACATACTTATTGTAAAATTTAAAGGTATTTTAATGGTGGGATAATTAAAATCATAGATAAAAAGAAATTAGCTTGACTAAACTACATTGATAATATTGAAGGAGTTGCCATAGGTAAAATATACTTGTATTTTAAGCAATTCACATTAAATCTTCATAAAAAAAACATTATATTTTGCAAAAAACTAGCAAAATATATTAACATATTTAATTAATGCATTTTAAAATTCATATAAAATATTATATCTAAACAAAAATCTATTTTTATACTTTTAAATCCGTAGAATAAATCATTACATGGATGAATAATTATACAGATTAAGCAAAAAAAAAAACTGCGACGTTTATTGACGTTTTACATTTGATTCCTCGTTTTCGTACTCTTATATTATTTTACCTGCCTATTTAAGAATATTTAGAATTAGGTCTATGTCATAAAGTATAGTATAGTAACCGGCAAACTTCTTGAGCAAATGACCTTGACTGCGCAGAACCGAATTTTAGATCACTTTGGTGGTGAGGGTGAGGCGCGACGGCAGGGGAAATCGTATCGAGCGCGTTATTGGTAGATCAGTCGAACCTTGCGTCCCGCACCGCGCCCTCGTCCCGCTTGCTCCCAAAAGTACGCTTGCGTACAGTGAAAAGTCTCGTTATTAATCGTTAAGTTATTTGTTATAATTGCTTGTTGACTTTGTTGCCATTGCTATTTGTTGAGTGTTTGTTGATTTTTTATAAAAAATACACTATGCCGCGACAAACTGGTGTAGTATTCAAAAGAAAGGGTAGAAAAATTGTGTACGACGTATATTGCTTCATTATAAAACAGGGGAAGAATGATATGGGAAAAGTAAAACAGACTTCGGAAGCAACAAAAACATCAGTGAGTACTGTTAGGTGCATTATTAACGAAGCTAAAGGCTCTGGCTTGCTCGCCGTGTTTCGGACTCCGGGTAAGAAAAGATCAGGGAAGAAGAAAGTTACCGGAATGGATAGTTTCGTTCAATCTGTAATAAAAAGATGTAATCATAATAACTACATAACAAGCAGCGAAACTCCGTACCGTAGAAAGGCTTCGAAAAATTTAAAGAAGATATAAATTTTAATGGCTCGGAATGAAGCTTACGACGAATTATGAAAGAGCTAGGCTTCAGATGGAAAAAAAGAACAGAAAATAATCGGAAGCTGGTAAATGAAAAAAGTAACATTCGATTACTACGAATCGAATATCTTCAAAAAATAATTAATTATAGACAAAAAAGAAGACCGAATCGACCGAGTTGTAAACTACGCCGATGAGCCCTATGTCGACTCATCACGATGATAGCGACTCGGGTGATGAAAACAGTGATGATGATGATGGTCAAGATTATGATAACGAAAAAAAAATTACAAATACCAGCTTCGCTTTAACTGAACCAAGACCTGGCAACAGCTCTAGTTTTGACTTAATAGAAGGAATATCTATTTTACCCCAAGATTAAATTATTACAATTATTAACCTATATTTTTTGTTGATGTTCTCATAAATATATAAATAAATACATATGTTGATTTTAATAATTTAATTGCATTATGACGCAGAGTAAATAATGTTTTTGCACGTGAGTGTACCATGCGCAAACTTACCCCCACTACGTCAACAAATGCTCAAGAAGTTTGCCGGCTATTATAATTTAAATAATATTTAAACTGATGATGATGTTAAAGTGTCAGTGCATTGACAGCAAAATCATATAATATAACCTAAAATTCTTATTTTATTTTTTAAATATCTCTGTATCCCCACGAACAATATTGATTTTAATTTGTTTATAACAAAAGGGATATATAGTCTGTTATTTAAACTTAATTTCATTATTGTCCTTGAACTTCGTTTAGTGGGCCAGGCAATGTATGGAGAGTGGCCCATGTCCTTTGTTTTATTTTTATTGTTTGGTTTTATATTTTAAATTCCTTAGTTCTAAAATACAAGAATTTTAAATGCTCCTTATTCTTCCACAGGCATGTGTTTGTACTTAACAAGCTTACGTCAAAAGAATTCAAACGAATTGTATGACGGAACTGGTGTCGTAGGCAATGTGATTGTTGATCCGACAGCTAAAATTGGCAAAGGCTGTAGGATAGGGCCTAACGTTACCATCGGACCTGATGTTGTCGTGGAAGATGGTAAGAATTTTTCATAGTAATTATTGCTTTAAAAAGTAATTGAGGCATGGCACATTGCCCATAGATGTCGTTAGTAAATGGAAACCTTCAACTACTGTTCAAAATCACTACATAGTATAAAACAAAGTCGCTTTCTCTGTCCCTATGTATGCTTAAATCTTTAAAACTACGCAACGGATTTTGATGCGGTTTTTTTAATAGATAGAGTGATAGAAGAGGAAGGTTTATATGTATAATAACATCAATTAAATAGTTTAGAAATCAATAATAAATTACAGTTTACGAAGCGAAGCGAGGGCGGGGCGCTAGTATATAATAATGTTATAAAGAGGAAAGATTTGTTTGTTTGTTTGTATTGAATAGGCTCCGAAACTACTGAACCGATTTGAAAAATTCTTTCACTGTTTGGAAGCTACGCTATTCCCGATTCCCGCGGGTCGCTAGTAATAATATATTGTAGCCGAAGTGCCAGAGAGATCCTAATAACTGTATCTTCTAATTTTAACATCCAAGGCTGGTATTTTTCTTACTTCTTTCAATTATGTTCAATCTAATGCATATATGCATTAAATTATTCCAGGTGCATGTATAAAGCGTAGTACAATCCTCCGAGGTGCGTGCGTAAGACAACATGCATGGCTCGACGGTTGTATAGTTGGCTGGAGGTCAGTGGTCGGTCGCTGGGTGCGCATGGAGAACTGTACCGTACTAGGCGAAGACGTCATAGTCAAAGACGAGCTATACGTTAACGGAGGACAAGTACTACCGCACAAGTCGATAGCGTTATCTGTACCGGAACCACAGATAATAATGTGAAGACTGTTTACTGTTATTTAAATATGTACATCACAAATAATAACTGGTTTGTGTCAGGGTAGACATAACTACTCCGAAATAATAAGAATACAAATGTATTTATGGCATTTTATGGCAAAACTAAATAAATTGTATATCCATTGAATGTTAAGTTTCTCGGAGTTGTCATGTTTAAACACTCTTTTTTTTTTATATCAAAAATTTATTATATACGGTGCAATATTACGTAATACAAATATTATTATTAATAATAGCAATAATTTATTGAGTATACTCACTATATGAAAAATTATTAAAATACCAGTTTTTGAGTTGCTCAACTAACAACGACGATAATTTGTTTTTCGATCTGTGAGCGCTAGTAGCTCAATAATATGGAGATATGCCACTCTATCGTTCAGAGTATCCACCACTTGTTCTCAAACTTCCAAGTTATAAAATGTAATGTCAGGTGCTGTCGGGTGGGAACCTGACAGCAAGTGTTGACAAAATGACATTAAAAGTACAACTCATTATGTAGGGGAATACTAGCTTGTCAGGCGTCAGACCCTCCAAGACCAGATTTTATAGTTTTATTATAGAATTAAAGAGATTAATTTGCAAAAAAAAAACACAATCGGTCTCTGTCAAGCTGTCAGAAACAATAATATTTTGGTATGATATTTCATATTTTTTAGCTAATATTGTTTATAAGTATGTTACTGATTAGAAATTTTGGTACTTACGTATTAACGCCACTGCGGCAAGAATTCGGTTAAACTTTCCTTTATGGTCCGTCGATTTTGGGTCGGGGTGGGGGGGGGGGTTAAGGGTTTACCCCCTGCACCATTCCCACGCCGCGGAACCCCATGGTTATGAAGATACCCACGGTAAATTTTTTTGATTAAAATTGCATTATTTAGTCAAATTCGAAGGGAGCTTTAGTTTGAATCCGCCTTATCTCCGGCGCTGCGGGAAGAGCAGCCCTTCCGCCCTTGCGTGCCGAAGCACGGTCACACGTGCTCCGTCACAGCGGGCGAGGACTACTCTCCCTCCGCGCCTCCGGCTTTTTATATACACTCTAGGGGTAGGGCAGACAAGACCAGGTGGAAAGTGGGGTGCTCTGATTCGCTTTTCCATATTTTTCGAGTTGTCCACACTTGCTAACCATTAAATTTTTGCCGCGGTGGCGTTAATACGTAAGTACCGAAATTTGTTTAATGTACTATGGTATATCCTATTTTGAATATCTCAGTTTCTTTTACTAATGTTTTTACATATTTTATTATTCTTATTTCTATATTGAACCAAATTAATAATAGGCCAATTAAAATTTAATGAAGTAGTTGATGGTACTTACTTAATTTTATTAATGTAATAAGAGATCGTATCTATGAGTACTTTTAATACCAGTGCAGAATTTTTAGTGTGTGTGTTTGTTTCTTAAGTCGATTTTTTTTTTACAATGTCGGTTGAAAATGCATTTTCTATAGTGATTTAAAATGTTTCCAAATAACGATAATATTTTAGACAATAATTATTAAAAAGCATTTTATAATAATACAATGAATATGCAAACTAGTTTAGCAAAGGGTTTTTTTTTTAAGACCTCATTGTCTAAAGAAAAAGCTCGCACATTTAGTTATAGATATTTGTTTTATAAAAGACATATTATTATTTTATTTACATACTTATTTTACGAACCAAATTGAGGACTCATGCGATCCGCTTGTTTAAGAGTTTTCTAATATATTACGACCCACTTGGTGTATATTAGTGATGTGTGATTGTTTATATATTTATTAAAATGAAACGTATTGCTGTTGTACTGTAGGTAAACGCCAGTCCGAGTACTTAGTTCGAGTTCTTTAACGTTCTCCATATCGTAAAACTTAACTCAAAGTTGGATGCAGTTGGAACAGCGCCCCTAGCGGCAAACGTAGGCAAATGTTCAAGCTCCATACAAGTTTGAGATAACTTTTACGCTATCGAGAACATTAAAAAACTCGCACTAAGCACACTGATATAAAAACTTCAGTCGTATCTCTCAAGCTGAGTGACAGTTTTTCGTTACGCACTCTATTGGCTAACCATTTAACACCAGGTGGGTGGTGAGTGTAACCATCAAAAGCATTGAATTGTGAATCAACGTAGAGCCAACGGCGGATCCAGGGGGGGGGGTCATGGGGGTCATGACCCCCCCCCTGAGCTAGTTCCAGGACTTGAACTAACTTGGACTAATTGAAGAACATCATGATTTATTTATTATCTACTGTTATCAAAATTAAATTATAAGTTCTTAACTTGCCCACGACTATGTGACCCACTCCTGGCGCCAAAGCTGGATCCGCCCTTGCGTAGAGCGCGTGGTTGCGTTAGCATAATCGATTAGAGCACAACAAAGAATTAATAGGTATATATAAATTGATGTAGGTACGCAAAATTTATAAAAACTGCGAATCGGCACGTTGCATATTCGCAGCGCACAAAACTCCGACACGAATTGCTGCATTGCGACCATTCGTTCGATGACCGTCAACCGTGCTGAACATATTATGTAAACTAGGTCGTGACATACATAGTAAAAATGAATGCGCTTGCTGAGGAGATACAGGGAAAAGAAACAAAGAATCAATTCGCAAGTACTTGCAACGCGTCGTGGGAGTTCGTAGGTTTTTACGATGCGGCTTCGCATCGCAGTTTTATCTACAAGCCCTAAACCATGTAGAGCAAGAGCCCGCGACAGCCAGACCTTCGTTATTTTATAAAAGCTGAAAGTTTCTCTGTGTAAGTCTCCAACACAGGTAAAAACGACCCGCGATTATAGAGTTTATTTAGAATGTATTTTAAGAACATAATTGATTTTTATAAATTTTTAGTTTAAATTTTGGTACAAAAAAATTATAACTTGATTTTCTTTTCGTTTTTTCAGTAGGTACAGTAGGTACAGTACAATCCGTATATTTGACATTCCATATTAACAATTGAGCAGGAGTATTACTACGATTCTGCAATCGATAAAACTCCTATTAAAACGAAAAATATTAATTTAAATAATATTTTGTACTGAATTTTAACAGATATTATTAAAGTATAATATGTATATAATAATATAGAAATATAAACAATAAAGGATTTAAAACACTTGGTTTTGTTCTTGATAATCAAACAATTTTGATTTACTGTTTTTGTATTTATGAAGGAAGGATTAAGTACTGGTCTCCCGTAGGCCTTTCCAGTTTGACCAGAGCCGGCCTATACTATACTAGACTTATAGATTTAATTTCATACTCGACTCAGACGATGGGGCAACGTAAAACTGCCTTCGCCCAGAATATTTCTTGTCAGATCCTCGGATCCACTCTCGGTGGTTTCTCGGTATTCTTCCAACATCGGTCACTCGTTCTCATCCAATCCCGTTTCTAGCTAGCCGTCGGAGCACCGTGGTAAATGAGGAATGCAGATCTTCATAAGACCTAAATCTAGTACTGATACGTAAGTATCTTAAGGAAGCGTCAAAACTCTACTTTGAAAAAGCGGCGCGGTACGATAACTGTCATAACAGCCACCGCTAACTACATATCCGACCCAGGCGACGGGGCAAAGCAAAGCCGCCGTCGCCGAAAACATGTCATGTCAGATCTCTCAGATCCACTCTCGGTACTTTTAGGTTCTTCAAGCACCGGTCACCGTCCTAGTTGAACTCGTCGACCCCGATGAAGATTTCGTAGATCGTAACCCGTAGACACTGCCCATTGAGTAGGCTGTGATTCCGACTCAGTAGTGAATTCTGCGAAGCACTGCTCTTGCCAGGGCTAGTGTTAGCAAATTCTCTCAGGTTGAGCCTGTAAGCTCACTTACCTGTCCGCGCGTAGCTGAAATAGCCTCTTAGGCTACCACCAAATAGGTAGGTCAAAAAAAAAAGAAATTATAGATTATATATAACAGAGAGGTATTATTTCAATTTTAAAAAGTTTTTTTTAATATTTTCTATTTCACTAAATAACGTTAATATCACTTGCTACTGAAGATTTGGCGTAAAAGACTTGAATGCTGTCCCTTATGTTAATTAAAAAGTTAAAAACATTAATGAACAATCAGTTGATAACAAATTAATAAAAATTTGCTTGAAGACAGGCAGCATATAAATGGAAAAAAAAGGTAAATGGTATGCTGAAATAAATAATGAAATTGGTATTAAACCCTGGTTTGCTAGGAGCAAATATTTAGATGTAAAAGGAAATTCTACACACAGATTTGTAGACTGAGATTTGGTCATTGCAAATATAATGCTCATCTTTACCTAATGAAAATAACTTCATCATCAAATTGTAATGAATGCTCCCTAAATGAAGAACAAACTTTACATCTTTTTTTTTTCACATGTAACTGTCTTTTAACATTCATCGGATTCTATTTATCGATAAACTGCAAAAGGTTTATAAGGATAGCATCCCGCCATCTCTTCAGGAGTTACTTAAGTACCCTGAAGTTTAGACCAGTATATGAATATATATGAAAATATTAAACTTAAGAATTGCCTGTATAGCTTAGTTCCATTGCCTTTCTCTTCGACAAAAACCCCGAATCTTGTCAAGCAGTTGACAGCTTGACACTAGACACTAGTTTGCGCCAAAACGAATATTACTTTGATTTGATTAGGTACCTACATATAACATACCAAATCCAAATACCAATCTTTATTTGAGTACTCTTTTGCGATAATAAAATGAAAATGAAAGTCAAATGGTATATCATAAGAAAGTAAACTTTTATCCGGTAATTAGTAAAAATAAAAACAACAAACGAAGATACGACTCATATTCAAATTATAACAATGTCGAAACGAAACAGCACAGGGGCAGCCAATACTCTTTTCAACTATTTTACTAAAACACCGCCAACGAATAAAAAATTAAAAGCGAACGCTACTGAAGATACCGATTGTAATGGTTCCCCGAAAAGCAGTAAAAAAGGAATACATCTCGAAAGTAAGATTTGTACAAGTCTTGTAAAAAATAATAAGACCTCTTTTTGAGTAACATAAACATTTTTAATTTAACATATTATAAAAAAAAGTATGTGTTTTTGTTTCACTAGTCTTATTCACATATGCAAACAGACAGATTGTTTTCATGGCGAACATGCTTCCAGAGTGCCAAGAAATCTGTCTAAATCTACGTATAATTGTAACATTATATGTATAAATGCTATTAGTTTTGTTTCTAAATTGATAAAATACATCAAAACAAGATTTTCTCTTTTATTTAAAAAAAAAATCAGAGTGACAGTCTTCAAAATATAAGTTTTTTTTTATCTAGATAAAAAACGCGAAAGGCAAATTACACCCTCACCGGAGCTTAAAAAGGCTTCGAGTGATGAAGAAGAAGTTATTTCATTGCCAACTAAGAGAAAAAGAATAAGATTAAATCCAGTCGATTCTGATGATTCTGATGTTGAAAATAAAGGTAAGATGTTTTGAAACTTAAATTGTATTGTCTCACCCTTACAAATAGTATGCTAAAACTTACAGGAGAATGAGGCATTATAATACTGCTAACTTATACCAGCTAGAATTAAAGGAGTGTAAATAATAGATTTTGTTTTTATTAGTAAATTACTACTCTTACTCCTTTTTCTATTCTTCAGCAGACAATAAAATTGGATCAACCAAGAAAGAAGAAGATGAAGCAAAGAGTGAGAAAAAGAAAGAAAGTATAGTAGAAAAGAAACTTCAAGACAGTTTTAAATATGAACCAAATCAAACCCCAAAAAGTAACAAGAATACTAAAACTACAGCTGGGTATTAAAAATATGTCATTTAAAGAACATTATCTAAGTCTAAGCAATATTTAAAAATTTTTTTTAACTCTAGTCATTTAAACACATTTTTCCATGGAATTAATGGATAAGTTCCGTCATCTTGGCTACCGTTAATCAGTACTGATTGTAACTATGACTTTATGTCTCATCTCTCTTTTGGACGGTAGCATGGTTTTATTTCAATTTCATCAATTTTGTAAAGCTGTCATGCATAGCTATTTGGCTATCAAATTTATGTATGCATCACAATCAAACTGGTCATAGTCCATTATAGAATTCATCGGCAACATCTCTGTGTAATAAGAGATCTACATGAAAGACACCAAATGATTGTTAACACCAAAGAATGATCAACTTTTGTCAAATGTAAATAAGTGAGCTATTTTAATTTAAGATCAAAATCAAAAGCAATGTTACCTGAAGAAAACCCAAAGAGTCAGGAAGAAGAGTCATCAGATGGTAATTGGGTGCACTGCAAGTTAGACTGGTTGAAGCCAGACAAGATCAGAGATGCGATGAAGAGGAAACCGGACCATCCAGATTATAATCCGAGGACTCTGTATGTTCCACCGGATTTCTTAAAAAGTCAGACACCTGTAAGAACTTATATTTTTTGAATATTGCTTCTAGGGCCAAATATGAGCACTCATACTAAAAATCTAATAAATTCTGTCAAAGTTAAACCTATCTAAGGCTGAAAGTAACAGTTCTGTTAAGTTATATGTGATGCAAATGAATGTGTGAATGAAATTTTATTATAATACATATTAGAAGACTGTACATTGAGTGTAGTATGAGAAATAATAATTTTATAGTGATTCTGATTATTAAAATTTCCATTTATATAAGTTCTGGCCAATTTAAGTCAGACCACTAAAATTTTGTAGGTAATAATAATTTTCACCTTATATTTTTTTAGGCTCATCAACAATGGTGGATAATGAAATCAACCAATTTTGATTGTGTATTGTTCTTCAAAGTTGGTAAATTCTATGAATTGTATCACATGGATGCTGCTGTTGGGGTCAATGAACTTGGATTCTCCTACATGAAAGTATGGCTATATACTTATTATTTATTACATAACAGTAAAACCAGCTCTTGCATGAAAAATATGAATTTCTTTAACTATTTGCGCCATATGTTGTATGTTGATGGTACTGTGTCTATGTGCTATTCTAATATATAGGACACTATATATAGGACGGTGAAGTTTCATCAACATTAATTCAGTACTTTTTGCATGAAGATCTAACATACACCAATTCTTGCTCACAAAATTTAAAATTTGCAATATTAGTAGAATAAATGTCTATTGGGACAGTTGTCGGAAACGAAGACAGACAGATAGACAGAGAGTACTACAAAAATCGCGTTGCAAAAGTTGTACTAATTGTTTTCGCGTTTTATACAAACAATAAGCAAATGATGTGACTGACTTATTTTCTAAATGTTCTGAATTATTCTAATTTTTCACTAGTTAATAACCTTACTTTGATTATTACTGAATTCCAAAAAAATAGTTTAATTTGAACACCTGTTCTTAAATAAAGAGCTTGATGCACATAATAATATGCAAAAATAAATAGTCCTTAGTTATTATTCATCTACATATTTTATTGCTTAAACAAGCAAACTTGTTAATGGCATACATTACTATAGGAATTTTATATTTAACAAATAACCATTTATAATACACAAGTTATTTATATTTGAAAATCTTATCTCGCTTATTTTAGGGTGATTTCGCACACTCTGGCTTCCCTGAAAGCGCCTACGGACGTATGGCTTCGACTCTAGTATCGAAAGGTTACAAAATAGCACGCGTGGAACAAACCGAAACGCCTGAAATGACACAGGAAAGGTGTAGAAAAAGTAAGTAATGAATGTCACACAAAAATGTCTGAACATATGCATGTATGAGTGGAGCATTTATAATTCAAAGCAAACAAGAAATTTAACATTTTATTCCATATCTCATACTTTCTCTATTAAATAGCTTGTTAACTGATTTTGTAAAAAATCGATTTTCTTGAGTTCCTTTAAAATTCCGTAATCAAGAAATATTAGTCAGTATTTTTTGCATTCCGTTATTTGTACTTGTAATAATGGCACAGCTTCTGTTTGGAGTCAGTACACAGATAAGTAAAATAATAATGCCTTTATTTCCCGAAAATTTTACATTTTAAACTAACAATTTCAAGTAGACTACAAAAATAAAAAATCAATTTAATATATGAAAATAAAATATTAAAGTAAAGTCTACACTTCTACTACAAAATGTCTCTTGTCTCGGTGTGCCTTTCGGCAAAGGCCTCCTCCAACTCTTTCTACTGCTTTCTGTCTGCTGCTACTCTAATCTAAAGGGGTCAAGTATGTTTAGTGCGAATTTTTTAACGTTCTCGTTAACGTAAAAGTTAACTCATCGAAACGATCCCATTCCATTTGTATGGAATGGGATCGTTTGCGTACGTTTGCCGCTAGGGGCGCTGTTCCAATTGCATACAAAATTGGCTTAACTTTTACACTATCGAGAACGTTAAAAAACTCGTACTAAGCACACAGAGGTAATTTTTAGTTCGTTCTCCGATCTTTTTGGTCTTCAGACCTCCGCTCCTCGCACCATCCCTTGGGTATCATACTGTCACCCGTTTGCTCCATTTTGCCTTTTTGCAGCGGAGTATAGCCCTGCCTATCTCCATTTGAGTTGATCAATACGTGACAGAATGTCTGTTTGTTTCGTTTTGCGCCTGATGTCTATACTTCTAATTTTGTCCATTAGTTTGTCAAAGTCCAAGTTTTACAACCATATGTGATGTAGGGTAGGATATAATCTTCTTCTTTATATATAAAAATGAATTGCTGTTCGTTAGTCTCGCTAAAACTCGAGAGTGGCTGGACCGATTTGGCTAATTTTTGTCTTGAATTATTTGTGGAGGTCCAGAGAAGGTTTAAAAGGTAGATAAATATGAAAATGCTCGGAATTAAATAACAATAACAGTTTTGTTTTTCTTTTGATCCCCCATCGGACGGATTCCTTTTGTTTGTTTGAAGTTTATTTGATAGAAAAGTATAGGTCTTTTATTTATCGATTGAGGCACTACGAAGTCTGCCGGGTCAGCTAGTAAGTAATAAGTAGATAAGATGAATCTATACTAATATATTATTATAAATCTACCGTGGTTTTTACGGATGTTCCGTTATAACTACTGAACCATGCATCCGATTGACTTGAAACTTGATATCAATGTATAAAATACATGTACTTAATGGATAGGCTAATATTCATATGAGTGTTGGACTCCCTACACCAGTTGTGGGGGCGTTAATGATGAGAATCTTTGTGGGGGTGAGAAATAATGTTAATTTTAAATGCCCAGCGAAGCGGACGGGTACAGCTAGTTATATATAAAGTTGTGTCGCGTTGCAGGCGGACAGAGCAGTAAGCTGGACAAGGTGGTCCGGCGCGAGGTGTGCCAGGTGGCGGTGCGCGGCGCCGAGGGCTGCGGGCCCAACGACGCGCCGCGCGCCGCCGCACTCGCCGCCTACATGCTCGCGGTGGCTGAACAGGTGAGCTCACAGTGTAGGCCGAACAAGCGTGCGATCCATCTGGTGTATAGGGGTTGCATTCCAGTTTTTTTTATTGCTTAGATGGATGGACGAGCTCACAGCCCACCTGGTGTTAAGTGGTTACTGGAGCCCATAGTCATCTACAACGTAAATGCGCCACTCACCTTGAGATATAAATTCTAAAGTCTCAACTATAGTTACCACGGCTGCCCCACCCTTCGAACCAAACGCATTACTGCTTCACGACAGAAATAGGCGGGGCGGTGGTACCTACCCGCGCGGACTCACAAGATGTCCTACCACCAGTAATTACGCAAATTATAATTTTGCGGGTTTGATTTTTATTACACGATGTTATTCCTTCACTGTGGGAGTCAATCGTGTACATTTGTTGAGTACGTATTTCATTAGAAAAAATTGGTACCCGCCTGGGATTCGAACACCGGTGCATCGCTTGACACGAATGTACCGGACGTTTTATCCCAGATTGAACAGTGTGACAACTATTTATTCTACATACTATAATACTATACTATCCATCCACATACTATGTGAAGGAAAAATAAAGGAAAACCGCATAAGCTTAAGTGAATAATACAATATAGGAGTAGACCGGTCATCGTTCTCGTCGAACCCGTCGCTTGCGACGAACGCCTCGGCTAGTAAATTAACCCACAAACAGCCCACTCAGTTTCCCGCCGGATCTTCTCAGTGGGTCGCGTTTCAGATCCGCCAGTAAATTCTGCGGAGCACTGCTCTTGCTAGGGTTAGTGTTAGCAACGTCGTCAGGTTAGAACTCCGTGAGCTCACCTACTTGTTAAGGTTACGCTAAAATGGTCTCTAAAAATCATCAGCTAGGTAAAAATATAAAAAATAGTTTTAGATAGTGAATAAAATATGCAAAATAACAAAAATGAGAATACCTTAAAATTTACAAAAAGGTCATGGTAAATAATAGAAAATGCTGCTACTACGAATCGAACTTAAATCACATTACAAAAATTCCTAAATTGCATTTCTATATTTTTCAAATGATAAGTAAAAGATGTTAGACCTAAATCACATTACAAAAATTCCTAAATTGCATTTCTATATTTTTCAAATGATAAGTAAAAGATGTTAGACCTAAATCACATTACAAAAATTCCTAAATTGCATTTCTATATTTTTCAAATGATAAGTAAAAGATGTTAACATTGGACAAGTTCATATTACGCACATTACACGTTGTGCGAACGTTACGAATTATACAATTGAGATCCGAAATTTACGTCGAGGTGACCACTTAACGTAAAATAGGCTGTAAGCTTATTAATCCATCTAAGTTTGGAGATATATACGACAAAGGGAAGATCTTCCACCGAGCGGGTGATATTGCTCGGTAGACCGACGGTCCTACTGTTGTTGTTCGGAACTTGTATATATGCGCTTTATCTTGAAAATGTCGTAAGCGAGACTCAGGCATCTGTCAATTATCTTGCGTTGTATGATGGCTACCCGCCACATAAGTAATAAAATAATATTTAGCGTAAAATGAAAAACGAAATATTTATTTATTGTTACAGGCACATAATGATTCAAGCACTTATGGAGTTTGTTTCATAGACACTTCAATAGGATTGTTCCACCTTGGACAGTTCGAAGACGACAAGCACTCATCGAGACTTCTCACCACACTGGCGCACTACCCACCAGCCTTGGTAAGAATAGTAACCAATATGAACTAATCCGTCGCTACTAACACGCCAGCTGCTTCAACAAAACGATAGGAACCACTGATGCCAGTACAGTGTTCCCTTGATGCATATATATACTTACTATTCACTAAGCTTTATTTCTTACTTAGTCAGCGGTGAAAATTTTGCTGAGCAGAAAAAATAAATTGCAAAAAGAATGCCCGACCTTAACCATGTGCTTTTAGTGTTGCATAATAAAGTTAGTTTTTCTCCTACGAGTAAATAAATTCTCATTGTTTTTGAGATTCTTAAGTAACAGAACGCCATCTAGTATTGACACCGTTTCACTATTACAGCCGATAGATGGCGTTAAAGGTTCGTGCGATAATTTGTGTTCTTGCAACCCTTGCACTTTTGCATTCCACTGTACACAATTAAAAAAAGCTTGAAAATGAACTAAAAAATGATTGTTTTATTTTTAATCTCAGATAATATACGACCGTAAAGCGACAACGGCCCGCACGAGCAAGCTGCTGTCCACGCACTGGCACGACGCGCGCAGGGAGCCCCGGACCCTGGGGCCTCCCGATGCCACGCTCAAAACCTTAGCCGAGAAATACTACAGGACGAATGAGGACGGAGACTGGCCAGAAGGTATCAAGGAGTTCTTACATCAAGGTGAGTAGCTGCCGGGTCGTTGACCCTTGTCAGAGCAAGTACTACGACATTGTCCACATTGTGTTGCTTTGGATATGATCCGTTGTCGCTTCTGACCTTTTGAAAACAAGAGCTTTGCATCATGGAGGTTTAAGTGGCTCCACTGATGTCGTCGGCGATGCTAACCAACACTACGTCATTACGGATCCTCCCGATACATTAATAGTGCTTTTAGGTACCACAAGCACCGATCACCATCCTCGCCGAACCCGTCGCTTGCGAGGAAGGGCTCGACGAGTAAATTAACCGTATAAATAAGCCGGATCTTCTCAGTGAGTCGCGTTTCCGATCCGGTGGTCGATTCTGCGATGCACTGCTCTTTCTAGGGCCAGTGTTAGTAATACTCCCGGTTTGAGCCCCGTAAGCTCACCTACTAGTTCGGTGAATCTAGAATAACCCCTCGTTACTAGAATAGGTAGGGAAAAAAAACCAACACTCCACGAGAACTCTCCCCAGAACACAATAAGGTAATCTCTTGTGTGGAGAGGCGCGAGTGGGATAGAGATAGCCGATCGGTACTCTAATGAGGAGTCCACTGGTGAGGTTTCGTCTGCTCATTCGTGCTATATAGTATTCGCCTAGTGATCGAAATTCAACCATATTCACTTATACTTCAAGATTTAAAATATGTATTATATTTTCTCTGATGATTTATTTGTGAAATGAAAATTGAAAAAAATCAGTATCTCCAGGTTGTTTTTATTATTAACACTAAAGCTCGTCAAACGATATTAAACAAAAGACAAATCAGTTGGAAATGGGAGTAAAATGCCATTTAACTGTTTCTGTCTTTCCTACTAATTTAATAGAGATAAAAAAACATCCGCATTGAATCGTTGACAATCAGATAAGACGCCCAATGTGCTCGTACCATACTGCTGCGATAGCTGCGTTCCTAATAAATACAAAATGTGTGCAATTCACACGTGGTAGAAGTGAAACCTTCCAAAATTAAAATACAATTATACTAAACGTCTTAACTATTTATGTAAAACTTTGTCATTAGTAAATAATTGTAAGGTAGCGCCCCCTGTGAAATGATATTTTAATTTCACGTATAATCTTAAATTAAAATTCACTACAAGAGCTTTCATACACACGTTAGTATTAAAAAATCTCACAGATGGCGCTGTATTAAATAGTATGTATATTTCTGTCTCATTCTTTGCTGGCTTCATCCTACACATTTTTGTATTTGTGTCTCTTACCTGTCGTTTTTTCCGTTGCATCCGGTTTGAAATCACAANACAAGAGCTTTCATACACACGTTAGTATTAAAAAATCTCACAGATGGCGCTGTATTAAATAGTATGTATATTTCTGTCTCATTCTTTGCTGGCTTCATCCTACACATTTTTGTATTTGTGTCTCTTACCTGTCGTTTTTTCCGTTGCATCCGGTTTGAAATCACAACGATTCTAAAGAAGTTTTCACTTCAAAAAAATTAACTCAACACTCAAATGCCCACAAACACCTATTACGATGAAGAAACAAAACATTGTGTAACATAAATACAGAATATCTATAATTATTCCTCCACCCTGACGTTTGAAGTTTCAGACAGTTGTTATACAAAACGATGGACATTTCGAACTCTAATCTCAAGACGGGATTCAAGTTTTTTCATTACAACAAAAGTAAAAGAGAACTGTTGTACGAGTCTCCCAAAAATAATGTCAGTAATAATATGTTCTTTATTAATTTCAGGTGATTCCCTGGGCCTGACACCGGCTCCCAACTGTGAACTCGCCATTAAAGCTCTCGGAGGATGCGTTTCTTATTTGACCGAGTGTTTATTGGACATACAAATACTAGGAATGTCGCAGTTCACATCGTACGCTCCACCCGATGTACTAAATAGGAAGCTATCTGAAAGGCACAAGGTCGATAATTGTTGGGAGGGCGGTAACACTTTGGTGCTGGACGCAATAACGCTGAGGAATTTACGGATAGTACAAGACGAAGGCTGTCTGTACGATAGATTGAATTTTTGTTCAACGGCTATGGGAAAAAGGTTTGTTTTTGTTTGTTTCGTTTTCGGAGTCATGTTCTGTCTTACCTTGTATTGGCCCTGTGCTGGAGCATCGGACGAGAATATTCGACGGTACTCGCAAGTGCTTTTGTTCGGTTGAGTTCGGTAGGANCAGATGGGTACTGCTCAAGCACGCGGTTAGTCCCCTCTTGCACATGCTCTATCAGAGCTGAACCTGCATCACTGCTGTGGGACCTGTACAGGCACGCGTAGACTCGGGTACAGCCCCCGTGATCTACGCGCAGCCACAAGAGGGACAGGTCCCGTTGTTCGAGGCTTCGTAGACGGCGACAACAGACATCAGCCCGGACAAATACACACACCCCGGCTTGTTTTAAGTTTATTTTATACAAAAGTTAAGGTCCTTTATTTATCGATTGAGGCACTACGAAGTCTGCCGGGTCAGCTAGTTAAATGTAAAATTGTAGTTGGTGGTATCATTTCACTGCGATAAAATCACAGTTGGGAAAATGTCTTAAGCGAGATTCAGGCATCTGTCAAATGTCTTGCGTTGTATGATGGTTACCGCCACAACCTAATTCCTCCAATCCCAAGTTCGGTACTGATACTTTACTACCCACTTAATTACAATTAAGGGCAGTATTCAATTTTTGTTTCAGGTTGCTCTATCAATGGGTTTGTTCGCCGAGCGCCAATATAAACGTAATAAAAGAAAGGCAAGAAGCTGTCAAATGTTTGTTTGACAATCAGGAACTATGTCAAAATGCAAAGAACGTTTTGACATCATTACCCGATTTAGAACGTCTGTTAGCTAAGTAAGTATGATGTCTAATATTCTTTAACAATATTCTCTATCTAATAAAATTCAATAAACAAACTACACACAAAAAAATACAAGAGTAGCTGAATTGTCTTTAATAAATAATTAATAAGACATTAATAAAAATAGTCAATTTAAAAAATAAGTATATTTAAATTAGTTTAAATAAAAGCCATAAAAAAATACATATACTTATGCGTTATTTGTATGTGCATATAATATTATAATATTTTTATGTTTTTACAATAGAGTACACACCCTAGGAAACTTGAAGCGTTCAAAGCAGCATCCGGATTCTAGAGCAATATTCTACGAAGAGAAGACATATTCAAAGCGGAAGGTTCTAGAGTTCATCTCTGTGCTGAACGGCTTCACCTCAGCACTGACTCTTGCCGAGAGCTTCAGTGATGTGGACTCGGTGTTATTAAAAAGAATCACACAAGTCGAAGGTGGCAATTATCCGGATTACAGGGACACTTTGAAATTTTTCAAGGTACAAATTCATAAGTACACCGTTTTCTTTTATTAGATTTTGGTTACTCTAATAAATTAATACAAACTAATATTGATAATAAAAACTACAATTTATAATCAGATGTTGATTTAAGATTGATTATGGAATATTGGAAGTCCGAGTATATGTATATATATACTGCCTATTTGTAGAGTGGAAGATTCATGACCTCGAGATTTGAGACATGACCCTTGAATCTCATAGTGGGCAACGGCACTCACGTTATGATGTTTGCGGGCTCGTGTAACCACTAGACATAAGATCATTTTGCGCATGAAAAGAAAAATATCCACCATAGACAACTAACCAAGCAATGTATACTACAGGAGGCCTTCAATCAACAAGAGGCCGAGAAGGAAGGCTGCATCAAACCGGGCGCGGGCGTCGACAGAGAGTACGACGGAGCCCTGCGACGAATACAGGAGATAGAGAGTGAGCTCAAGGAGTATTTAGCCGAGCAAGAGAAACACTTCCGCTGTAGAGTAAGTTGTTGCATCTGCATACATACATATTTAGTTGTCGATAGGGTGATTGAGTTGAGAGAAATAGTGAGTACATAAAACACGTTTGCTGTCTTAGAATATTTAGCAATCTTCTTTTGACAATAGCAAACGAAAACGAATGACAGTCCTTAGGATGGAAGCACCAGTCTTCAAGAAGGCTGGTTGGTAAATGTGTAATGGCGTCTACGCGCCTCCACTGGCTAGGCTCTATCGTAGCACGAAGTTAGCAAAGCTCTGACGACATCACGGTTGTATTGTCACCTCTGGAACCGTGCTGCGTTTCGTTTTGCTACCAAACTAATGACCGTCTCCGACATCTATACTCTATCTATACTATAATATATAAATCTACAGTGGTTTTTACGGATGTTCCGTTATAACTACTGAATCATGCATCCGATTGACTTGAAACTTGGTATCGTCTTGGGTCTTCTTTAAGCGTCCACTCCATATTTAAAAAAGAAGTAAAATTCTAAAAGTATACTATTTGTATTTTCATGAACAATTCGAAATTCGAATTCAATAAACTTTTTTGTGTCTAAAAGAAAAGTTTTTACTGTGTGACAATACTTATGACCTGACTAGTTATATACCTGAAACGAGGACTTGACACTTTCTTCCAGTGTTCGAGCGTTTATATTCTTTAATAAAAATTATTGCTTAGTTGGGTGGACGAGATCACAGCCGACCTGGTGTCAAGTGGTTACTGAAGCCTATAGACATCTACAACGTAAATGCCGCCACCCTCCTTGAGATATAAGTTCTAAAGTCTCAGTATAGTTACAACGGCTGGCCCACCCTTCAAACCGAAACGCTAATGCTTCACGGCAGAATTAGGTAGGGTGGTGGTACCTACCCGTGCGGACTCGCAAGAGGCCCTACCACCAGTAGATACGCAAATTATAATTTTGCGGGTTTGATTTTTATTACACGATGTTATTCCTTCACCGTGGAAGTCAATCGTGAACGTTTGTTAAGTGCGTATTTATTTAGAAAAATTTGCATCGCTAGATACGAATGCACCGGACGTCTTATCCTTTAGGCCACGACGACTTCACTCGCAAGAGCTGTATTAAAATAATTAGTCGTTTTTTTAGTTGTCATATGTGGGTACGGACAAAAAGCGTTACCAGATCGAAGTGCCGCAGAGCGCCTGTTCCCGCGCCGGCTCGGTCTACCACATGGAGAGCGCTCGCAAAGGCTTCAAGAGGTTTTCTACCAGCGAGACGAAGGTAGATATTGTTTCTTTTATTGATAGCTTTTAATCAAATCAATCTTACGTTTTAATTTATTTAAAAAATGGTCTGCATGTTTTAGAATTATTTTTTTAAATCAATCGATATAGTTATACTATTTAAAGTTTTCCGTGAACTTGATAGTTCCTCTATCCCTTTATCGTAAAGCTTCGTAAAGCTTTCGAGCACAATATTAATAACAATAGTGTGTTTCCTCTGAACAAATATGAATTTCTTCATTGTCGCTTGACTTTTATTAAGTCTCTGGTTAATTTCCGGAGCATCAGCCATCGAGGAAAACAAGTGTTATATTAGCCGGGCGTCCTTGGGGTGAGCAGCGCCGTCTGGTTGTAGTGTTGACCGCGGTAACCCCCTTACCTCATCCGGGTTCTGACCTCGGAGGGGATCGGACACTTGGGCGAAGAGTGCAGGGGAGTCATTTAGTGGATAGGGCCCTGAAAACATCCTTGGGTCCGCAGTCTCGCAGTCGCGGACCAGTCCCACATACCCCGCGCGTCCCCTAGGCGCGGGGATCTTGTAGGATGTTCGGCCACCGGCCCGAAAAAAAGGGTTTAATTGGTTAAATATTTTTTAGGAGTTCCTGTCCCGCATGATGGCCGCCGAGGAGCAAAAGACGAACGTGCTTAAGGACTTGAGCCGCAGAATGTACGAGAAGTTCTCGTCCCACTACGCGCAGTGGGAGGCGGCCGTGCACTGCCTCGCCAGCCTCGACGTGCTGCTGGCGTTCGCAGAGTTTGCACGACAACAGCACGGCGATATCTGTCTACCCGATGTCACTTTTGATCCAGGGACAAAGGTAAAGGGATATGCCATCCAATATATATATCGACGCTTGAAAGGCAAACGTGACTAAGCGACAATGCGTGAACTTTACAGTAGACTAATTTAAAGTCGAAATACCTGACAAAAATTCTATTTTAACGAATCTAGCTGTAAGATTGAAATGATTTTAATAGACCTAGAAATATATATTTTTTGCGCATCGAATATGGTTATTGCCTGTCATTTATTTATAAAGCAGTTATTGTCGCTTAGTCACGTTTGCCTTTCAAGCGTCGATATGTGTATTCTAATATAACAATTCAGCGGATTGTCATTAATTAATAAGGAATTAATTTAAAAACATTCGTGAGAGCGAAGAATGATTTTAACGAATTGTGCAGGATTGTACTTTATGTTTTTATTTATTTATTAGCATGAATGTAATTATAAACAATAAATAAACTTTGAGAATTGTTACCCTTTGTAATTTATATTATGTACATTGTGAATAAGCTGCCAGCTATGAACAATTAATTTCATCATCAATGAATCCTTAAAACTTGTCTTTGTATGCGTACATGCGGCTTCAGAAAACTAGTACACATGATGATATATGCCTTGTATCGAATCTTTAATTTAGAAAAAAAATTAAGGTAATTGTGACGATAAATATTTTGGACAGCCCTACATAAACATCGTGGAGGGGCGCCACCCCTGCATATCGCTGGTGAACGAGTTCATACCGAACGACACGAGGCTGGGCGGCGCCGGGCCCGGCCTGCTGCTGCTCTCCGGGCCCAACATGGGCGGCAAGTCCACGCTCATGAGGCAGCTCGGCCTGCTCGCCGTCCTCGCGCACCTGGTAACTACACCACACCGATACACACAGACGAGGCAATGCAACGGGACGGCAATGGACGGGGCATTGCTGAAGTCCATGGGCGACGGTAACCACTCACAATCCGATGGGCCGTATACTCGTCTGCCTACAAGGGCAATAAAAAAAAACCGATACATACAGACGGGGCAATGCAAAGCCGCCCTGGACTCACTCTCTGTGCTTTTAGGACCCTCAAGCAACGGTCGTCGTCTAACTAACTCATAGACACAGCCCGCTGAGTTTTGCACCGAATTTGCGGCACCCTACGCTTTTGTACACTATTTTTCATTCAAATTTATTAAAATTCATTTTCTATTTTTTTGTTAGATTTTCTATAAAAGCGTATTTTGTTAATTTTTTTAAACTTTATATTATTATTATTGATTTGTCATCGGTCCTTAACAAGTAAACGAAATTTGGAGTTAATCCGACGTTTTGAGGGTGGTCAAAATCACGTTCAAAGATTCCGCTACAAACATACATACATCTGAAGGTAATAAAAGCGTATTTAAAAAACGCGCGTCTGCGTCCAGGGTAGCTACGTGCCGGCGCGGGAGTGCGGCCTCAGCCTCGTGGACCGCGTGTTCACGCGCCTCGGAGCCTCCGACGACATCCTCGCCGGACAGTCCACGTTCCTGGTGGAGATGAACGAGACCGCAGCCATCGTCAGGCACGCCACCGTACATTCGCTGGTCTTGTTAGACGAATTGGGTGAGAATATGCCTCAATTTATTATTTCCACCTCTTTTCAGTTTCTTTTTTTTTTGCCGTATAGGCAGACGGGCATACGGCCCACTTGATGGTGAGTGGTTACCGTCGCTCATGGACGTCAGCAATGCCAGGGGCAGAGCCAAGCCGCTGCCTACCGTTTAATACTCTCCACAAGCCTCGTTTGAAGAAGGACATGTCATAGCACTCGGGAAACACCGTGGAGGGGAGCTCATTCCATAGCCGGATGGTACGTGGCAAATAAGATCTCTGGAAACGCACTGTGGATGACCGCAGTGGCTCTAGGTAGTATGGATAAACTCTACTCTGGCGGCGGGCGGTGCGATGGTAAAAACGAGACGATGTTATCATCTCGAACAATTCATCACAGTACCTTTCTAACGCAAACACGTAGATACACAATCAGCAAGTCTATTTCCGCTTGGTGGCAATCAAATTCTAAAGTAAAAAAACAGCTTTTGTACCAGTATTAATAAAACTTTAATTATGTCTTAAGGTACACTAAATTGTTTACTTTTCCACCCCTACCCACTTTTTTTTTATGTTCTCAAATCGAAAAGTGAACTTATTCACTTTAATTAAATTTATGAATTTTTTTACATTTAAATGTACGATGCGCAGACGGCCCCCACTTTTTTATCGAGAACTCAGGACTGGTGCCTCCTACTATACACGTAATTTTTTTTTTTATTGTTTAGATGTATGTACGAGCTCACAGCCCACCTGGTGTCAAGTGATTACTGGAGCCCATAGACATCTACAACGTAAATGCGCCACCCACCTTGAGATATAAGTTCTAAGGTCTCAAGTATAGTTACAACGGCTGCCCCACCCTTCGAACCGAAACTCATTACTGCTTCACAGCAGAAAAAGACGGTGGTACCTATCCGCGCGCACTCACAAGAGTTCCTACCACCAGTACCAATTAGTTTTACGATTTAATCTCTAGTTTTCTCTTGTCGTAATATTATTGGTGACGTTTCGTGGTGTTCGCGGAAGTCTAAATGTTTATTGATCGCAGGTCGAGGCACGTCCACGTACGACGGGACCGCCATAGCGTCCGGCGTGTGCGCGGCGCTGGCGGGGCGCGGCTGCCGGGCCGTGTTCTCGACGCACTACCACTCGCTCGTGCGACACCTGGCGGCGCACGATGGACTCGTGCTCGGGCACATGGTGCGTTGTGCGCGCACATGCACGTACTAGGGCGGGGAAATGGCAATTCGACTTGGATTCGTTGTGCTTGATTGAATATCACTACATAGTATAAAACAAAGTCGCTTCTCTGTCCCTATATCCCTATATATGCTTAAATCTTTAAAACTACGCAACGGAATTTGATGCCGTTTTTTTTAATAGACAGAGAGATTGAAGAGGAAGGTTTATATATATAATAACATCCATTAAATAGTGGAGAAATCAATAATAAATTACAGTTTCCGAAACGAAGCGAAGGCGGGTCGCTAGTACTAGACAATCAACCTAATTTACTATTTCTTCAAATCAACAATAGATAAAGAGATGTAGTGAAAATTTCTAATACATTTATTATGCTGTTGGTTGGTTGGTTACGGAAAAAATAACTTCGTAAATCGTTGCTGAAAAGTGAATTAATAGTTTTGAGAGACAAAGACTATTTACATTTAAACTTTATTTTGAAATTTAAAAAATTATATTTTTTTACTTATTTTATCTTGCATAAAGACTATTTACATGTAAACTTCGAATTTAACAAAAAAATACTTGTTCTATCTGGCATCGCATTTATTTCTGATTGTAATCTTATTTAACTGGTTTATACAATGAAATTGTGAAAATATTTTAAACATCATATTAATTGCAAACATCTCATTGTTGCAACAATCTCTTGCTAACATGCTAACATGACAGTACACATACATGTTATTGATTTGAACAATGACAGTGCCAATACTAATATTCCTATTTTTCAGGCGTGCATGGTTGAAACCGACGAATCGGTCCCCGATAGCGAAGATCACATACCGGAGGAGACTATCACGTTCCTATACAAGCTGAGTCCGGGTGCTTGTCCTAAGTCCTACGGTTTCAATGCGGCCCGCCTCGCTGGAATACCCAAAGAAATCACCCGCAGAGCTCACGAGATATCCAAGAAACTGGAAAAGGAAGCCATGTGCGCACGAGCCTTTAGGGATATCATGAAAATGGAAAACAATGCCGGTGGCGTTAGAGAGTTGCTGGCAACACTGACGATTTGAGTGTTGCTGTATTTAAAAATACTCTTTGATTGTGAAGAAACAGTAGTAATAAGTTTGATTCCTGTCCTTCACCATTTTGGTGAATTTAAAGAAGGCTATTATTTAAGATTTTACGTTATATGAGAATTCTTTTAGCCTGAATGTTTTTTGTTTTCAAAAATTGTCGGCTGTGAAAATATGAAAACATGTTTTTCGTCGGTTCTACTATGCTAACATAGAATTAAGAATAAATTCATAATTCCATTTAAGAGTAAATTAATAAAAATGAAAAAAAAAACAAACAGCGTATTGATTATAGAATTAATGAACAAGTATTCGTAAAATATGATTTTTTTCCGAAAATTATAATTTCCGAAAACCAATTTAAAGATTTTAATTAAAATTGTAACAATTTTACAAATTACTGGCAATTGCGGATGCTTTTTTAACTGTTTTAATCCTTGGTAATAAGAATTGTAATATATTAATTGTGATTTTGCTTGTGCATTCTGTGATCAACCATCAATATGAAAATGTACCCACCTATATTTTTACTAAAATAAACTAACATAAAAATAAAACAAAGTGTTTCATTGTCACTGTTTAATGAAATAAAATAATACATTGCACGTCATAACAACACAAGGGTGACTATTTGTACAATGGCACTGCAATAATGTATAAATATATATATTGCTAATTATTAGCAAGACGAAACTATACTGGAAAAATTAAAATTAAATACACTTCATCAAGATAGATTTTAACCATAAATTATTACGGACTACATAAACACATATGCAACTTCGGTTAATATAAATCTTTGGTTTTTTTACAAACCATACAGAATAATTAATTAAAACCCGGAACAGCTGTAGATATTATTTATTAAATAAAACTTAATTCCGATGTGCGGCGAGCTAATGCAAAAATTATATAGATGACTAGGACCTTAATTTTACTACACAACGTGACGATCAAAGCACAATGGAATTGTATGTGTATGAAGAGTGTAAAAGTACCGTCACCAAAACAAGCCTCACTAACGTAAATACAAAACTTTAATCTAATAAAATAAGCATTAACGCTACGAGTTTTTTCAGGATTGACTTTTTTCCGTCCCATCATCTAACGTGTCATTAGTACTATCGTCTCTTTGTTTTCAGAAGCGGTCTCCTAGCTCCGATAATAAATATTATGTGTATATAAATCTTATATTATTACAATGAAAATAATATATGTACGTTGTTGTATGTTATGTTTATATATGTATATCGTATGTGTGTGTTTGTATACGTATGTAATATCTATGTATATAAAAATGAATTGCTGTTCGTTAGTCGCGCTAAAACTCGAAAATGGCTGAACCGATTTGGCTAATTTTGGCCTTGAATTATTAGTGGAAGTCCAGAGAAGGTTTAAAAGGTAGATAAATATGAAAATTCTCGGAAGTAAATAACAATAACAATTTTGTTTTTCTTTTGATGTGTTCCCCGTCGGACGGATTCCTTTTTTAAGTTTATTTGATAGAAAAGTTTAGGTCACCTAATTATTAATAATTTTCTAATTTCTCAAAAAGGAATGCACCTACCACAAGACTCTTGGACACCACCCTTGGTTGACTGGTAGAGAATGCCTCAGGCATTAAGTCCGCCATTCTACCTTTGTGCATAAAGCTGAATAAATAAATTGCGTATTTTGTGTACGTATGATTGGAATGCAAGTACTATTTGTTCCAACTTACTGGTAATTGGACGTCTTGTGAGTCCGCAAGGGTAGGTACCACCCGCCCTGCCTATTTCTGACGTGAAGCAGTAATACGTTTCGGTTTGAAGGGCGAGGCAGCTGTGTTTTGTTAAAACTGAGACTTAAAACTTTTGTCTCAAGGGGGGTGACGGCATTTACCTTGTGGCTGTCTATGGAGCGTGAGATCGTCCCTTCATTAAGCAATAAAAAAAAAAAACGGATAAGAAGTGTTCAGCGTGTACGCCAAAATTTAATATGTATACAAAGTTCACGTATCTAAGGCGTGATAGAGTATTTTTTCTTCGATTCATACAATACGTAATCGGCACGAGTCGTGAGCTCTGACCTTGACATGCGCAGAAATCCATTTTTGGGTCTGTTTGGGGGAACGAGACAAGAAGGGGGGTGACACCGGCCATTTTTTTTTTTTTTTTTTATTGCCCTTGTAGGCAGACGGGCATACGGCCCCCCTGAAGGTGAGTGGTTACCGTCGCCCATGGACTTCAGCAATGCCAGGGGCAGAGCCAAGCCGCTGCCTACCGCTTAATACTCTCCACAAGCCTCGTTTGAAGAAGGACATGTCATAGCGCTCGGGAAACACCGTGGAGGGGAGCCCATTCCATAGCCGGATGGTACGTGGCAAAAAAGACCTCTGGAAACGCACTGTGGATGACCGCAGTGGCNCATTCCATAGCCGGATGGTACGTGGCAAAAAAGACCTCTGGAAACGCACTGTGGATGACCGCAGTGGCTCCAGGTAGTATGGATGAACTCTACTCCGGTGGCGGGCGGTGCGATGGTAAAAACGAGATGCCGGTATCATCTCGAACAATTCCTCAGAGCACTCCCCATGGAACATACGGTACAAAAGACAGAGGGAACCGAAGTCCCTCCGCAGACCCAGAGGTGATTTACGTGATTGTATCATCACAACAAGCCGTCAGTTGTGACTGGGTTTCTGTGCTGTGTACGCACATCACTGCAGCAAAATACACTATTGTGCAATTTTATTAACCACACATTTTTTATCAAGCTCATTAAATTTTTTATTGTTTTTGGTAAGTATTTATGAACTTAGTATTATTAATGTTATTTAAAATTACTATAGTCTCATCTAGCTTAATAGGAATAAAATAATATTCTAAAATAATGTTACTTTATTCTCAAAATGAAAATACATAATGTGAGTCGTCTATTGTCAAAGGTGGCAATCTGTGCATTTGGACAAAAAAATGTTATTGATATGTCAATAGATTGATTTGAATATAATCGTCTCCTTCAAAGAATACGGTTCAAAACCTGCATTAAATAAAGGTTAATAGTTAACCTGTTATTTATCTAAGATGTCGTTCCGAAGAGTTTTGTGACTGCCAATGGAATACAAAGTCAATAATTCGTTTTTCTGATTTACCAATAATTATCAAACAAAGACAAACAGAGTGTTCAATAGACAAGCTAGAAGAATTATTTATATCGTTCATTCATTTATGAAGAGAGAATCTGAAGATGGGGTGATTAATATAAAAAAAGTACAAAAGCGGACCGCAATGGCAACGGATAGTTCTGTCGCTACTGTAAAACGTATAATACAAGAAGGCGGCGGAGAAGTCCCTAAAATATTCAGAACACCGGGGAGAAAGAGACCCCGAGATAAACCTATTACGGGTTTAAATTCAATCGATCTAGGAGTGATTAAACGGTGTATACACAATTTCCATATAACCGAGGAGGAACTGCCAACCACGGAGAAACTGCGAGTAAAATTAAAAAACGATATCAATTTCCAGGGGTCCGCACGAAGTTTGGGGCGAATCATTAAAAATTTAGGTTTTAAATGGAAAAAAATACAAAATAATAAACAAATCCTTACAGAGAGAACAGATATTCGCTTCCAGAGAATTGAATATCTGCAGCGAATGATGAAATATAGGCAAGAAGGAAGACCAATTATATATACGGTCGAAACATATGTTGGTTCACCACACTCCCCTCCCAACACCTGGACGGACGGTTATACTAAGGGACTAAAAAAACCAATTTCTAAAGGACACCAAATAGTCATTGTTCATGCTGGATCCGAAACAGGCTTTGTGCCGAACTCTTTACTTTTATTTAAAGCAGGCGTCAAAACAGGAGACTACCAGGACAATATGAATTCTATTAATTACGAAAAATGGCTTCGTACTCAACTGATACCAAATTTGCCAAATAATTCAGCCGTCGTAGTTGGCAATGCAACGTATCATAACAAGCAATGCGATCCGGCACCAACATCGAATGCTAAAAAAGCCGATATGCAGGCCTGGTTGACTAACAAACATATTAACTATACTTCTGATATGTTGAAGCCTCAGTTGTATAATTTAATTAAAACTCATAGAGATCAGTTTAAAAAATTCTACATTGATCAAATATTGGCAGAACACAACCACTCTGTACTTCGGCTACCTCCTTACCAACCTGATCTCAATCCGATTGAGATGGCATGGGCGGCCATTAAAGGATATGTTAGCAGCAAGAAAGTTACTTGGAGCTTTAAAGGTGTGGCCGACCTGGTCAAAGAAAAAGTCAATTTGATGGCTACTACTGATTGGAATAAACTGTGCCAAAAAGTGAATCAAATAGAAGAGCAATACAGGAAAAGTGATCATGTGGTAGACACGATGACTGAAGAGTTTATTATTCATGTTGGTGATGATGACTCTGATAGTGATGAAGATCGCATATCGGACACGGAAGATGCAGATGATTTAGATGATGACACAGATCAAGATGATGATGATGATGATGATGATGATAATTATGATGATAAAGCCCCTATTGCTATATATATTAAAGAAAGTGATGAGTCATTTATGACAGAATTAAATGCTTAACAAAATATTTTTTTATATCATTCAAATTTTTTATTTAATCTACGTATTTATTCTTACCCAGTATTCATTTATACAATAACTAAGGTAGGACGTCTTGCGAGGCCGCACGGGTACGTGCCACCACCCTGCCTTTTTCTGCCGTGAAGAAGTAATGCATTTTGGTTTGAAGGGTGGGGCAGCCGTTGTAGTGTAAAAACTGAGAACTTAGAACTCGTAGGTATCTCAACATAGGTGCCGTCGAACCCTTCGCCGCAAGAACGGTGACCGGTACTTGATGTACCTAAAAGCACCTTTAGTGGATCGGGAGAATCCGAAACGACGTGTTTAGGGCGACGTCGACTGCTTTCCATTCGATCCGCAGGATCGGGTATGTAATTTCCGGCGGCCACGACAAGAGGGTTTTCGTATCGTGCCGCTTTCTCAAAGTGGCGCACTGCGGTCGCGTTTTACTCTTTGATATATAGTATTAAACCAATTGAATATACCTACCATACAAATATATAGTTACATTTTCAATAAAAGTAAATACACTCCCGTACACATCTATCGGCCCACCTAATGTTTTAAGGTTTGACGGTCCCTAGCTAAAAATAAATGTTAGGTGGAGCAATAAAGTTTTTATACAGTTTTGAAGCTGATTTATTGGTCAACCCTTTTGGTATGTTTTTTTTTAAATTTCGAATTCAGAATTATGAAGAAAAAAAAAACGTGGTAGAGTATAAGATTCACCAAGGTGCATACTTGACTTATACGAGTCAAGTATGCGCCTTGGTGAAGGGCAAGAGTAGTAGTCTGGATTTTTACAGAAATCAAACGTTTTATCACAGTGAAATGTTTAATTGAACAAGGCGCACAAGCCTTAAGGGACATAAAAATTCAAAACGAGGCCGGTGGAGTCAGAGATTTGCTGGCAACACTAATAATTTGAGTGCTGCTGTATTTAAAAATACTCTTTGATTGTGAAGAAACGGTAGCCATAAGTTCGATTCCTGTCCTTCACCATTTTGGTGAATTTAAAGAAGGCTATTGTTTGAGATTTTTCATTATATGAGAATTATTTTATCCTGAATAATTATTGATAACAATTTATTGAATGGTTCTGAAGAGATTTTCGTTTTCAAAAATTGTCGACTGTGAAAATATGAAAACATGTTTTTTGTCGGCTCTACTATGTTAAAATAGTTAACGCCAGTTTAATTTCAAATCTAAATCTTATTCAGTTATGGTAAAGACAAGAACGAATCCATAATTACATTTCCGAGAAAATTTGTCTCAGAAATTAAAAAAAAAATTCTGTGATCAACCATCGACATACAAATGTACCCTCCTATATTTTTACTAAAATAAAATAAAAAGTGTTTCATTCGTAACTATTTAATTTTTAAAAAAATACATTGCACGTCACAACAACACAAGGGTGACTAATTGTACATTAAATATCACTGCAATATACATTAACTACATTGCAAGCCGAAACTATACTTGAAACAAATATATAAAAAAAAATACACTTCATAAAGATAGATTTTAACCTTAAAGTATTACGAACTACATAAAGACAAATGCAACTTTCGGTTAATATAAATCTTTTGTTTTTTTTTTGCAAACCGTACAAATTACTTAATTAAAACACGGAACAGCTGTAGATATTATTAAATAAAACTAATTCCGAAGTGCGGCGAGCTAATTCAAAAATTATATATGACTAGGACCTTAGTTTTAGTACACAACGTGATGATCAAAGCACAATGGAACAATTAAGGAATGTGATGTGTAATGTACAACAGTGCTGGCAGGTTAGTCTACATTGTATGTATATAGAGCAGAGGTGGCCAACTTAATTAGAACCAAGATGTACTGTCTACTGACGAAACACTCTGCGATCTACCAATGACATTTCTTGAAATTTAATAAAAAAATGTAGTTCAGTATACAAACTTTTTACTGGTGGTAGGACCTCTTGAGAGTCCACGCGGGTAGGTACCACCGCCCTGCCTATTTCTGCCGTGAAGCAGTAATGCGTTTCGGTTCGAAGAGTGGGGCAGCCGTTGTAACTATACTTGAGACCTTAGAACTTATATCTCAAGGTGGGTGGGGCATTTGCGTTGTAGATATCTATGGGCTCCAGTAACTAATTAACACCAGGTGTTCTGTGAGCTCGTCCACCTATCTAAGCAATAAAAAAAGAAACACTGCGATCTACCACCAATTACATTTCTTGAAATTTATGAAACAACGTAGTTCAGTATACAAATAAGTAGTACGTATACATACGTATTTTCTTTTATTAAAAAGATTAAAATAAACCTGAAGTTACATAATAAAAGAGAACTATTGTGTAGAGGGGAGCATAAATAATGTGACGTAATCGTCATTAACAAATGATACAAGATGAAGATGATGCGCGCAGCAATTGGTGATTACGTTGCGCAGTCTTTTCTATGTATTTATATTTTTTGCCTTGCCACGATCGACTGAACTAATAGCCACGATCGACCGATCGATCGCGATCTACCGGTTGGCCACCCCTGATATAGAGTGTAAAAGGACCGTCACCAAAACAAGTCTCACTAATGTACACACATAACTTTAATCTACTAAAATAAGAATTAATACTTCGAGTTTTTGTATCTTATTTTGTTCTCAGCTAACCACACCGGACCTAATAAATAAGCTTAAAAGGCGACAAATCCTAAGTCTTGATAGACACGGTTGACAGAGTGGAACAGTCTCGATGGAGATTTTGCTCTGACCGCCTAACAGCTCTCAACACATCTGCTCATGAAGTCTAGCTGACTGATTGCAAGATAAAGAAGAAAAAAACATTTGTTCATTCGAGTGGGTTGATATCAACATTCTGCCGCGGATACTATCATTTCTATCTCAGGTACGAGATGAATTTTCGACCTTACGTTTCAAGTTTGGAGGTTGCATTTACGCTGAGGACTTAACTACTGCGTAATAAACAGATGAGACAAATACTCGTCAGCATTGAATAAAATTGTGGGTACACAAATTTATACTGAAGACAGCTGACAGACTCTGCTCCCACGACGTATCTTAAGATCGTGTTTTTGTTTTCATATTTGATATTTACCACAACTGTATTTTGGAATCGATTCTAGTACATCCTTACACTTATTACTTTCGTTGATGGAGTTGGAATGTGCTAAACACAGCTTAACAATTCATCGATCGTTAGTAGTTCAATGATAAATTCAAAAATACTACAAGAGTAAATTTACCATTCTATGAAGTTGGAGCAGAAAATTTTAATTAAAAAAAAAAACATTTTTATGTATTTATTCTTTTCCAGTGAACATCACGGGGTTTAGAATAACTAAAATACCAATTGTTCATTAAGATCCAGGACAGAGCGTGTCATTTTTTTTTTGATATCTGAATTATAACCCATTTAAAGTTTTTCATTAAAAATATTTTCTCGAGTAACTTGGACCACTATCGATAAAGAGTTTTTACACTTGAGTTTTGTTTTATAGCTACATGATTTGAATGCAGGTCAGCGTGCGACCGGTGGGGGAGTAATTGACTCATTGAAACAACAAGGATGTCACTTTGATAGCTTTGCAGTAGAATTGGGGAGAAAGACTTACGCAAATGTAAGCTTCTCTTTACTTTAGTTGTGTGGAGGTGGCCCTACATATCTTCCCGTGGTTATCATATAACGCAACTAAGTGATTCATCGGAGAATAGGCAGCATTCTGCTAATTATTATACACGCGTCAATTATAACCCAGCACTGCTAAGTACTACCATACTGGTGATTTCTACAGTCAGCTTTCTACAGCTTTCTGTGTTAAAGGGCGCAACGTCTGTTACATGACGTGCAATTGAAATTTCGACATTTAATCTCAAGTTGTGATATCGATGGACTTCGGTAACCACTATATGCCGGGTGAGTCGTAAAGTTGATCTCTGCCAATGCAATAAAAAAAAAAAAAAACCGTTTCCAATGAAAAGTTTATCATCGGAGGCCAAAACCCACTTCGGGGTCATAGCGCCAGCGCAGTAGTAGTAGTAGTTTCCAATGACGTAGGAAGAACTAATTATTGGACGGACAGCTCGTGGTATCCAGCTTATTATTCTAAATCAGTGGTTTAGATAATTCGTAACGCTTCAGCAACTGAACTAATGTAACCGAGTCGTACGAACACCGAATTGTTATAATAATATATTATAGAATTACTAAAAATTGAAAAACTACAGTTATTTTTTTTCATTTTGCACGAAACACTAGATCTTAATAAAAAATTGTGTCCTCAATAATACAGTGCACAATTGGAATTTATTAATAATAATTATTTTACAAGACACGATTAGATTTCTGAAACAGTAGGCTAATTGAAAAATCATTACATTATATTATTAAGTATTATAGATTATCTTATTGTGGACTTACGAGAAATATTTAAAATTACTATATTATTTTTGTCATTGAGATGGCACCAAAAACTATTAATGGGACTAATACATTTATTAATATTGTGACGTATCGTACCAGTATTAAAGTTAAATTTTTAATCGCACTTTTTTCTTTCATAGAATTAAATTTCAAACATGATAAAATCCTGTTAATCTTTGTACACCCGTCCCCATATTTATATTTAAGATAGGTTATACAAAACCGTATAAAATAAAGTAAACTTCCGACATGAGTTCAATTCAGTCATGTACTTGAGTAAAACAAAAGTAAAACATATTAAAAAGCCATTTTACTCCCCATAAGAATATTTATTATTACTCTGTTGCGTAAAATCGTAGGATCCAATATTTTAAGTTTTCTTTCCAAAGATACAACTTTTATGTTTATTTTGTATCCATTTTTTTAAATACAAATTATGCATGTAGCCTACATAAAAGCTGTCAGATTGATAACTAATACATTAACTCGCAATTGTGATAAAAATTATATACTTTCTTGGCTTACTTTTACATAAACTATGCGTTTGTATAGTATGCGTTTGTATTGTATATGTACT